ATTTATAAATAATGAATAACCCTCATAGTGTTTGCATACACATATATGCAAAAACTCTATACATTCTCTTTATGTTTTTAGTTGTTAGAGTTATTTGTTTATTATTACAAGCTTTGGTTTCTTTTGCATCAAATCTTTATTTTAAAAATAAATACTTGAATTCAATAAAAACATACAACATAAAACTTAAAAAAAAAAAAAACCTAAAAACATTATTCTTACTATGCTCTGGTTACAGTTATAGTGAAGTAAGGCAAAATTAACCAGAAAGTCTTTCAAAAGGCTCTGTCACGTTGTCCTAAGTAAACTTACTAGAAAAATGTTGACATTACTTAAAGGAGAATTATGAGGCGAGTGATTTTCACTCAGCCTCATAATCTGAGCCGACCTGTGACAATGAAACTGTCACAGGTCAGCTCAGTAGATCGGGAAGTGAGCGAACACATACCGTTGCTCACTTCTTGATCTATCCCTGCAGAGAGCCGTGCAGGGATTCCCCCCCTCCCCTGTCCGATCCTCCAGCGCTGACTGGCGGAACGGAAGGGGGTGGGGGCGGGCACAGCTGGCTCTGCCTCTGGATAGGCAGAGCCAGCTGTCAAACCCGCAGCTGGGTGGATCTCAACATCAATGTCGGGATCCGTTCCGGCTTCGGCGTCTCAGTATAGCTGTAGCTCGCAGTATACTGAGCTTTGGGTCACGGGAGAGCGCTAGTTTGTGTTCTGCCGTGACCCTTAGGAGAACTATGGGGAAAAGCCCTAACCCCATAGTTCTCCTTTAACTGAAGCTTAAGCTGAATTTCAGGCACAAAATAGTTTATTTCAGTATCTATCTAAATATGCTTAAGAGCCAACTTGTGTGCACCAAACACTTGCATACCCAGATCTGATCATATAAAAGTAGCAGTGACATCATCACTTTACTGTATTTAGTCTTTTCAGAGAGCAGAGCTGTGGGAGGGACCCAGTCGGCCCGGCCCACTACAGGCTGTCTGCAGAAAATTACTGGAAGGGCGGATACAAGACAGGTCACCCTGCATATGGGGAGAGAGCAGCAGTGACTGGTCTTTATTACAGGAAGCTTCTGATCAGAGGTTAATTTTACAGTGGATTACTGCACCAATGTGAATGAAATATACAAAGCACACCAATAATTAAGTAAGATACACATGCCCCTTGTATTTATTCAATACAATATGTTCTTATCCCAGAGTTCAGCTTTATTTCAGAAAAAAAAACAATGGCAGAAATTCATTACTCATATCAAAGCACATCTGTTTCAGTTCTGGGAGTTTTTGTGTCCCCCTCGGGCCATTAAAAACAGTTCTTAGGCAAGAACTGTATTCCTATCTCATTTTGCTATACATATAGCTGTGTGTAGTATTCATCTTTCATACAATTACTTCCACCCTACATAAGGTAATTCTGTTCATTTTTTTATTAGGATGTTCATATTACTGCTTTTGATTTTAAATAAAAATCATTATTACTCATTATGTTGCCGTTAGGTCATGTCCAAATTGTGAGCAACCATCATTCCTAATTAATGCATCTTTAATTTAAAGCTTTCCTTGCAAATTCTTGGTCCTTCAGGGCCTTCACACCAGGGCCGTGTGCTAATTGTTGCATTGTGGCGTGGTCAATCGCATTGCAGGCCGAGGCGTGTTTGGAGTGCCAATCAAATGATTGGCAATGCAACGCACCTCCCACACTTTAAAAACAGACTTTTACACTCCTTCACTAAAAATCACATCAACATACAGTGCTGCATGCTGATATGAAGTCATCTTACGTTTGTTAGTTAAACAAACATTTTTCTTTTACTTACAAGTACAGTTTTTCCACTTGCTGGTCTTCGAGGGCATTAGTGATGTAATCTGTACCCACGCGTTGCATCCTGGGAAGAGCATTGCTGGGAAATCTCATTGGTAATCTCATGAGATCTAAGAGAAAGGCATTGTCCCCCCTTGGACGATGTATAAGGTCACATGTCCTAGTCCCATGTGCCAGAGTTTCAGGAAGTAAAGGGAGATACAGTATATTAATCTGCCCTCAGTTAAAATGGCCACTGTAAGAAAAGGGAGGAAAAGAAAAATAAGATATGCAAAGAATACAAAGCCGGCAATTTTCTAGAAGTATCTTTTTGTAGATTGTCATTACTAAACATTTCTAAAGGTTTGTTTGGTGTCATTTTAGAGATATGGGTAAAGGTCCGCTTTTATGCATGGTAGGGGCTTTGCGCGGTACCGTGCCATTATGTACGGCCCTGGTGTGAATGGGCCCTTGAAAAGACCATATAGAGTTAGTACTGCAATACAGCATTGTGGTAATACATTTGTAATCAGAGATGAACTACATTATGGTAAAGCAGATGTTTTTTTTACTAGCTCTTTAAAAAGTTTAAAAGGTCATAAGGGAACAGCTTAAGAGTCTACTGAGAAAAATTTTGCAAAAATGAGGCTAATCAAATGTGAGACTGTGGTGGGAAAAGTGCATCATCACACTTGTTAAGAAAAATCACATACACATAATTTAATTGTAATGAGAGAAAGAGATTGGGTGAAGGAAATGTTTATTACGTCCTCTTTTCTTTCACAGCTGCTACATGCCTTGTGTGACAGTGCGAGTTCAAACCTGTGGGTGCGGGAGATTGATTTAATGAGCTGCTGAAACCTTGGAATAACAAGAAAACAAACTATGCTTGTTTAACCACTTCAGCCCTTGTACTTGTACACCCCTTATGGACCAGAGCAATTTTTACATTTCCACTATGGGCCTGGGGATAACTTTTTTGGGGGAGTAGGCTTTCTTTTGGCAATATTGCGTTACAAAATTATTTAGGGGGTTATTCTCAAAAGGGTGAAGAGTTTGGAGATGGCAGAAGTGAATAATCTAGGAAAGTGAGTTGGAGAATTTTTCCAAATCAGCTATGTTGTCCTAGATTGTTTATTCTCCTGCCTTCTCCAAACTCTTCACCCATTTGCCAATAACCCCCTTAATGTTCTATGGACTCTATATACAAAAAGATATAACAAATTATTATTTTTTTCTGTTTAAAAAACAATAGTTTTACTGTAAATAAAAAGTATAGATTTTATTCTGTACTTTGTCCCATTTAAAATGACATTAAAATGGTGTTTATGGTACAAATCAAGGCTAAGTTGTTTGCACATAAAAAAGCGATTTTCTTTTTTCTCCTTTTTTTTTTTTTTTACAGTTTTGTTTATTTCTTGTTATGCGATGATGAAAAACATAGCAAACTGCAACATACAACAAATGAAAAAAATATTAATGGTAAAAATAAATAGAAAAAAAAAATAGAAGAATAATAGCTGAGGGAAGTAATTTGTTAATTAGCGCTGATTCGAGTTAGGAAAGGATTACTAAGGGGTTAAATAGGAATACATTTATTTAAAAAAATATTTAACTTACAAGATTTCCTTAACCACCTCTCTACTGGCCTTTGTACTTTGATGGCACATATAAAAATGTCCTTGTCATTTATGTTGGTGCGCACACTCCAGGCTGCACCAAAGAAAGGCTCCAGATCAAGGGTTGGGGAGTACAGTTAAAGGGCCACTAACCACTAATGCTGTGCTGTGGGATTGTTTTGGGTGGATTCAAATTGCTACCAACCACCAATGATGGGGTGGAGGGTTTAAACATGCCAATGATTGTAGGATTTTTTCATTTTTTTGGGGGGTGTTGGGGGGTGGAGTACTATTGACCACCAATAACTGTGGGATTGTTTGGGTATTGGGGCTAAAGTATTTTTCTTTTTTTCATGGCATCTAGCCATTGCCCACAATGCAATTTGAGAGCATTACAGTTTCATCCTCCAAGAACCTTTCTTCCACTACTAATGAAAGACCTAGGGGCTAAGCGCACATTAACCACCTAATATAAATGCAAAACTTCGCACTCAGCTAATCACTCAGCAGCAAGCACTAATCCCAGTAAACCAGAATGTAAGTGAACAAATAAACAAAAAATGTGCCGCGCTCTCAACTAGATTTTCTGTTGAGTTGAGAGCGCGGCACATTAACCACCTCAAAACCGGTATGTTTCTTCATTTCCCAAAAAATGTGTGGCAAAAAATAAGATCACACCTTGGGGTGCCACTTTCAAATAAGGGGTCATTTTGCAATTTCCTGGCATTTTTATTTGATATGTTGACAGTTACAGTTTTTTCCCCCCAAATGGTTAGCCTTTTTCCCTTTATTAAAAACGAATGGTTATTAAATACTGACAAAAGAAAACTGTATCTCAAAAACTGATCTAAAATCCATTTGGGTACAGTGTTGCATGAGTAATTGTCAGTCAAACTATCACAACACAGAACAATTAGCTGGAAAGAATATATAATATGGTATTGAGGTGGTAAAGTGTTGTCTTTGTATTTACTAATTTATTCATATGTAGATCAAAGGTTGAACGTTTTAACAAGCACTGACACTGTGACAAGTTTAAAGTGAGCAGTGCCAAAAGAGGCTCTAGCAATGGGGTGTATTTATTAAAGGCAAATAGGCTGTCCACATTTTAAAGGCATTTGCACTTTGCAGGGGAAGTTTCCCTTAGCTTTGTGAATGTGGTGAAGCTGCTCTGCTGACCTCCATCATCCAATCATAAGCAAAATATTGTTTTGTTTTTTTCATTTTCCGTGTTCGTGATTGGGTATTCTTTGCAAAGTAAATCTTTACCACATTCTCTAAACCAGGGGTCTCAAACCTCCGGCATTTCACTTTCCTTTGACATAAGCTCCAACATCTTGGTTTTCAGTGTACACAATATGACATGTGTTTAATGGTAATGCAGATGCATTTCCTGTAGGAAGAATACAGTGGACACTATAGATAATTGGTTTGAATATATTTGCTATGCAAATTGTGCAGCCGCTCATGTTTCCTTGGGTTTTCTTTGTATCAGTCATTCACTGATGTGCTGATGTTTAAATTCATAAAGTACAAATGAATTAATTGTTGCATTGTTTATTCACTCATTCAGGTGGTTGGGGTGGCTCAGGCAATCAATAAGAAATCTGGAAATAATGGCACATTTACTGAACAAGATGAGAAGGTAATGTTTATCACATTTATATATATGTATTACTTATGATTTGAATTTGTTAAATTTCATATTGTTAATGAAATAATAAGACAAAAATACATAAAATTACATATTCAGATGAGCATTCAATAAAATAAAAATTAATTCATGGATAAAATTATGCAGTTATGAAAAGAGCAAATATTTAATTGGTTAATATACCAAAAATAGTGTTTTGTGTAAAGTAGTTTCCATTTAAATCTTGGATACCAATATATTGAACAGAATTTATTTATGCTTACCTTATTCTACATAATGTTAAACGTGCAATGAAGGGAAGCAGTGGAATTTGCAGTTAACATACACTATATCACTGAACATGTATGGGCACCTGACCATTACACTAATGAGAGTTTGTTAGGCACCCGGTTTCAAAACCATGGGCATTGATTTGGAGCTGGCCTCCCTTTTGAGGCTATAAAGTCACTCAGCATAAAAGCTACTTGTGATAAGAAATAATTCTTTACATCATCTCTTATCTCCCTGGATAGTGGTATGGGTGCCAGGTGCTGTCATTGTAGGGTTCAGAACATTGTGTCCAGTTGAGTTATAGGTAACCTTTGGAATGAAATTAGCAAACAGCATAGCTCACACAAGGGAGCTGTGCAAGCTTCCTCCATGTTGCTATACCTCTATACAAGAAGAAATAAACAAGCTCCTAAGGAACCCTGTGTATTATCTCCCTCCCGTGCTATACCACTATACAGTTATTCCTTTTCCCCAGGTACCTTACATAATACCTAGAGCAAATACTCTTGGGGGAAAAAAACTAAGACGGCTAAGCCGAACCGCCGACCGGCTACTCGCTGCTGTTCGGTCTATTCTTATAGATGCCGAACAGCAGTGAGTGAATAGCCGAATGCCGGCTCGGCTGTTCTGCTCGCTCCCTCTGTGGGACCGAGCAGAACAGAAAAATAGTTAAAAAAGTAGAAAAAAATTAATAGAAAATGATTGTGCGGAGCTAGCAGTGACAGTTTGCTGCCGTCAAAAAAACAACAACATTTTCGCCATAGGAATGCATTGCTAGATTCCTATTGGCTATTTCAATTTGCAAAAGCCAATAGCAAACCAGCTAATGCACCCGCCCTCTGCCGCTGTCAATCACTAGAGGGGACCTGATGGAGAACTGCAGGTCCCCTCTGCTGATTGACAGCAGCAGTGGGCGGGTGCAATAGCTAGTTTGCTGTTGGCTATTGCAAATTGAAATAGCCAATAGGAATCTAGCAATGCATTCCTATGGTAAAAATAAAAAAAAATAAAAAAATGATTCTGACCCCAGCCAACGGCTCCGTGTCAGAATTAAAAAAAAAGAAAAAGCAGTGTTTCTCTCCTGGGCGGCCGGGAGCGGGAGACTCCCGGAGCGCCCGGGAGAGTTAGGCTGTCTGGAGATCAGTGTCCCTGGTTAGCTGGTAACCAGGGACGCTGATCTCTCTGCAAGTGGCCGGAGCCAGCCGTAAGATCACAGCTGGCTCCGCCCAGCTGTCAGAAGCAGGCTGTCGGCCGGCTAGCTCCGGCTTTCACCTCGGCTCAGTCAAGAAGAACCATATTCCTTCGGCTCTACTGAGCCGCTCGGCCGACTTCGGGAGCTGTACGGGCTATAGGGAATAGCACGTAAAGCACCCCTTCGGTTCTACTGAACCAAAGGGGTCCTGGGGCTGAAGCTAGCCGAAGGATCAGCCGAAGCTACGGCTAGATCCTTCTGCTTTTTCCTTGAATAGATCCCTATGTAATCGCCAGGCAACTATCATTTTCAAAAGGACACATCAGCACTTTCCACCTCCACCTTTTTTCAGTACAGGTTGACTTTTAGTAGTTGCTTTAGTGACATGTTCTGAACCGCTTTCATCTTCCTTTTTTTTCATGACTTATGAGAATGTTAACCTTGGCGTTAATTCTTCATGAGACAGTTTGAATCTTGATAAACTGAGCCTTCCGTTCCACTAATTGCACCTGTGCAATTAGAAAATGTAAATGCAGCTTTTCTTAATAGTGTTGCATAATGAACATCTGTACTTATCAAATTCAATGCAGATTTGCATCTAGTGCTGAGTTTTCAGCGGCTAGGATGTGAATTTCAAGTATGTATTGCTTGTAAGCTATTGACTGAGGCCAAAACTCAAGCACAACCATTTTTTTTTTTTAAATGACTCAAACTATTTCCATCGTGGAGATGTTACATAACAAGCGAATACTGCCTGCACTTCTTGCTTTGTTATTAAGCTGCAGTATGTGTCAGTTATTTGTGAGGGTGCTAGAAGAATCTGTGTTTATCCTGTTAAATGTATCTCTTCATAGCGGGAGGGTAGGCATATTTATGTTTTTATTTTTAATATTGAGTGTATATAATTGCTGCAAATGTAAAATATAAAGTACCCCATGGTGGGGCAGTAATTCTGCCTCAGAAGTAATACGATTTGTCAAATAATACAGCAGACATACTAGAGTGGTCATTAAAGGGGTTTTCTACTTTACTGTAGCTGTAACCAACCCACTCTTAAAGGAGAACTATGGGTTCAGTGTTTTCCCCCATAGTTCTCCTAAGGGTCACGTGAGGACACAAACTAGCATCCTCCCGTGACCCAAAGCTCAGTGACCCAAAGCGACAGCTCGCGGTATCCTGAGACCGCCGCAGCCAGGACGGATCCCGATATTACTGTCGAGATCCACCCAGCTGCGTGATTGACAGCTGGCTCTGCCTATCTAGAGGCAGAGCCAGCTGTACCCGCCCTCTCCCCCATTTGTTCCCCCAGTCAGCTAGGCTGAGTAATTTTCACTCGCCTCACAGTTCTCCTTTAAACGTTTTGTGATTAAACAAAAAGTCCTGAAGAACACAGTTATCATGTTTTTTCAAACCAAATCCCTGCAGTGTTTTCATATTTCCAGCATGCGTGTGGTCAGGCAACTCAAGCAGGGAGAGGTGTCTGCCTTCTTTCCCTATGGGTTAGCAGCAGAAATACATCACTGATCATATTTTATTTTATTACCGGTATTTATGTAGCGCCAACAATTTACGCAGTGCACATTCACATCAGTCCCTGCCATCAAGGAGCTTACAATTGGAGGGCCAATTTAGAAAAGAACCAATTAACCTACCAGCATGTCTTTGGAGTGTGGGAGGAAACCCATGCAAGCACAGGGTGAACATGCAAACTCCTTGCAGATAGTGACCTGGCTGGGATTTAAACCAGGTACCCTCAGTGCTGGAAGTCAGAAGAACTAACCACTACGCCACTGTGCTGCCTGTATTATTATATCTTGTGCTATTAGTCAGTATGGCTGCTGCAACAAATAGATCCCTAGTGTATTATATCCTCTTACAGCTTCGATTTCTTTGTGACTTATACATTGGTCATTTGATCATATTTTACAGTATATATAAGCTGGACTACCTTCTGTAGCTGCTTTTACTGTACCACCTTTGTTTTTATGCTCTTTCCATTTTTGACTGAGTACACCTCTCTGCTTGACTCTACTCCGCACTCCCATGCGACACCCCCTTCACCTCGGCCCAAGGCTTAATTATATCCCTCTTGCAGCAACACTGCACTGCCTGACAACATAATGTATGCAATGGTAGGATAAGGTGTTGAAGAGGAGAGACCCAGGTATAATATTATACAGAAAGGATCTTAAGAAGGGATGTGAAGAAGGGTTCCGCTGCAATTTGTATTCATCTCTACAGGTCAGGTTACACGTTACTGTGGGAAGCAGGCGTGTGTCAGAGCTCTGACTTTGGAGCAAAAAAGTCAGAATTTACATTACATTCAACAACCTGGGTTAGGAACCGAGTCTGCTTTTATTATTTTAGCTTTTTCAGCTTAGATATTTGATTTGGAGATAGGATTACTTTAAACAGCAAGATGATCATCATGCAACCTCAGATAAACCAACAAAACTAAATAATGGTGATGATTACAAGAACACGTATTTCTTTACATTGTTTAACCTGGATGGAAACAAATTATTAATGATACAACAATCACCTATGATTTCTAATAGTCTTATATTTCCTTTGGTATATTGATTTGTAATGTAATGATTTCAGGACTTTGCTGCTTACCTGGCATTCTGTGGCATTGTACTGCACAACGCCCAGCTGTATGAGACCTCGCTGCTGGAGAACAAACGCAATCAGGTACTGTATGCCGTATTTCCTCTTTAGTTATTACCTGAAATGGCTTGTCATATAAAAAGCTCACATTATATGTAATATGGGTATGTATCTTCGACTTTATAACATGTACAACCCTTTCTGTGGACAAAATACTTAAAGTGGACCTGTATTTTTTGCAGACTTTAAAAAAAAGAAATGTTTTTGGTAATATCAGGTGGGTTGACTCAGTTAGTGAAATCACCCCCATTCCTGCTGCACTCTCTTTAATGAATAAATAATGTTAAGCTCCTCATTATAGAAAATCCATTAGGGATGTGCAGCACCATCATCTGCCCTATGCAGTTTCCTGGAAATGAACATTTTGGTGGCAATATCTTGCAATTAAGAGATGTAAGAAGACAATGTGGAGTTCAGCTTGCCAGCATCCTCACAAAACTGAAATAAGTTTTGGGTGGAGTTGTTCTTTAAAGTGGCACTAAACGCAGGAGGTAAACCTTAAAATGCATTCAAGTACCTTAACTATTAACAAAAATGTATCTTATTTGTGCATTACTCGGCTGTAGATCCTCAAATCATCTCTGAATTGGTACTGACACTGTCCTTCCTTCTGGAGGGTGGCTACTTTTGTTCCACATGGTACCTGTGTGTGTTGTAAAGTAGCCAACGGTCCAAGCTCATTCCTGTGATGGATTACAATTTCAGGTTTAGTTTACTAATTTGTATTGAGATTGTAGTCCATCAGATGAGCGAGCTTGGAGCGATGGTTACTTTACAACATACACAGGGACCATGGGGAACAAAAGTAGCCACCCTCCAGAAGGAAGGACAGTGTCACCACCAATTCAGAGATGATTTGAGGATCTACAGCCAAGTGATACACGAATAGGATACAGTTTTGTTAATAGTTAAGGTACTTGAATGCATTTTTTTAAATTTATCTCCTGATTTTAGTGTCACTTTAAGGAATATATATAGCACAGAGCTGAATTTCACCATTTTTGGTTAGTATTAGGTTAGTATTTATTAAAATGTTTTCCTTGTAACCATTCTGAGAAATAAAATATATTCCATGTAGCCAGTTGGCAGAAGACTTTCATGTTTTTCTGGCATACTGATTTCCTCAATGAGCATTCATTAAGTGTTGCTCCCTTGCTGATTTTGCAGTCAATATATAGATATAACAGACAAAAAGAGCAACAGCAATAGCTTTTAGTTTCCCAATATGATCCCGGAGGAGTAGACTGAACTTTTGTTTTATTAGGGCAAGTTCTTTTTTTTCAATCTCTTGATCTTTTCCTTTTGTATATTGTATAATAATAATTATTATTATAATGTCATGGTAAAAGAGATACATGCAATCCGTCTTTTTTACAGCATCAGATTCTATTTACAAAACAAAATAAAGTTTTTGGGAGAGAATTTGATGTTAGTTGTTTTGGCATTGGCCCATTAAAAGCGATGTTCTTGAATGCCACATTTGTGAGATCAGTCATTGCAAATAATTTGTTTTGCTGACCCAGACTAAGTCTGGTATATCAACATTTACTTGACTATTAATATTACTGATTGCTTGTAGCTTATTTTGAGATTAAGTGCTCCAGAAAAGGAATTAAAGAGTTCTTTTTTTCAGGATTTAATATCTCTCTTCTCTGCCCTATTTTGTGTCTAGCATATTTTATCATTCAGCTGGCTTTGAAAAAAATCCAGTGCAGAGATCTTAGCAGCCTGGGTTTTGAAAATGATTTAGATTTACCAGTTGAGGTTGATATGTGAATTGCATGTACAATTAAAATATTAAAGCAGAACCCTGGGCATTTTTGTTTCTGAACCCTTGAAGTGCAGCTACCCCCTCACTGCAATGGTTAAGTGCTTGTTTTTTTTCTAGGTGCTAAAAAAAAAAAGTTATTCTCAGCTGATCCTCAGAGTTGGCTTGCTCTTTGACTGGTCGCTGGTGCCTTTCTCATTATGCAGTTTAAGGATCCTTGAGTCATAATGTTCTATACACACAGGGTTATTTACAAAATGGTGAAGAGTTTGGAGAGGGCAGGAGAAGTGAACAATCTATGCCAAAATAGCTGATTTGGAAAACGTCTCCAATTCAGCTCACTTCACTCTTGCAGTGCAGGGGGTAGCCCCACTTCAAGGGTTAAGAAAAAAATTTGCTTTAAATATTTGACTATATGTATTAAAATATGAAATATGGACCATTAAATATGGAATATTTTAACTCTAAATTCCCTTTTGCCCTTTTCATTGTTTTAATTTAGTGAATTGCATGCTTTGTATTATATGTACCGACTGAATATTTATGGTTGGGATTGCACTATCCATAGGTGCTCCTTGATCTTGCCACCTTTATCTTTGAGGAGCAGCAATCACTGGAAGTTATTTTAAAGAAGATAGCAGCCACAATTCTTTCCTTCATGCAAGCTCAGAGATGTACCATCTTCATTGTGGATGAGGACTGCCCTGTAAGTAAACTGTTGGGGGAAATAAAAAAACATGTTTAAAATACCAGATTTTAATTCACAAAGATGTTACAAAAGCTTAGCAGCCATTAATGGAGTCTGGAGTTTAAGCTGCATAAATGGAATCCAAGCCGAAAAGTGAAGACTTGCTATGCTATAGGGAACATCTCTAAATGGTGAATGTGCCTGAGCCAGTACCTTTTGTCCAGAATTCCTCCTAAAAGATAACAGTGCATTTCCTATTATTTGAAGATGCCTAAGCATCCCCGTACCTACAGCCTCATAGCTCTATGTCCAGTGTACTTGTAAGATTAAGGCACTGCCACTGCCTCTGATTGCTAGTCTCATTAGATTTGGAGTGAGAATTAAGTGAAATTTGCTGATGTTACAACTCACTGTTGTTCTTGCTGGAGGCTGTGATGTAAAGAAGCAAAAGCCCTCTACCAAGATGGCTGCCTCCACACAGAGACACAGTCAATTATTGGGGAAAGATCAGCTGCAGGGAGACCACAGGCAATACTAGCCCTTTGCCCTCTGTCTACCTTTTTTGGACAGTAAGTAAAAGCAGTTTTACTTACCTGATTCCCGCTCTTGCTGGCTCCCAGACCAGCGATCTTAGCCTCTTCCCCCCCCCTCCAGATACCCGCTGACGTCATCACATCATTAATCCTTACATTTTCAGGACAAAGGAAATGTATCATACAAATGATAAAAATATCACATTAAAGGAGAACTATGGGGTAAGTGTTTTTCCCCATAGTTCTCATCAGGGTCACGGGAGGACATAAACTAGCGTCCTCCCATGACCCAAAGCTACAGCTCGCGGTATACTGAGACCGCCGCAGCCGGGACGGATCCCGATATTACTGTGGAGATCCACCCAGCCAGCTGCTTGATTGACAGCTGGCTCTGCCTATCTAGAGGCAGAGCCAGCTGTACCCGCCCTCTCCCCCATTCGTTCCTCCAGTCAGCTCTGCAGGGACAGGATCGAGAAGTGAGTGAGCGACGGTATGTGTTCGCTCACTTCCCGATCTATTGAGCCGACGTGTGACAGTTTCATTGTCACACGTCGGCTCGAACTATGAGGTTGAGTGAAAATCGCTCACCTCATAGTTCTCCTTTAATAATAGCCCTATAAGCAGGGCTGGACAAATCCCAGCAACCAGGTAGCCAATGCTTCTTAAAAGTTACAGCTGACACCTACCATTTGAGGTTTTCTCTAGTTGTTGTGAATGGAACTGGCCATAAAAAACTAAAAATATCCTGCCAGCTCCTGGATTGGACAGACTGACTCCTGAATTCCATATTCATTTGTCCACCCCTGCCCTATAATAAAACCACATTTTAAAAACAAATATGTAAAAAAACCAAAGAAATCCACTATTGTCATGTCTTCAATGAAAGATTGGCTGTATGAGTCTTGAAATTACTTGCGTAAATCCTCCTTGCTCATCACCCTGGGGTATATAACGTATCTTTTCTTAGGATCATATTTTCTATCAGCCATTACTGTCATGGGATTGTCTTTCACCCTCATGCAGTTCTCTGCTGCTCAAATATTACATTGAACTGATGTCCCTGAAGAAAGTGTTTATTCCTTTATCAACATCTCTTCTTTAGTTAATTTCCCCTGTGGACCACCATGGTTCACAAAATAGAAGAAAACAAAATGACCCTGGAAGTACACATACCTACTATAATTATGAATGTCTTTTTTTGCAGGATACCTTTTCCAGTGTATTTCACATGGAGTCTGATGAATTAAAAGAAGCTGCAGATACCATAAAAAGGTACATCTGACTTTAGAGAATAATCAAAGATGTAGCTTATAGTTTCTGGAAAAGTTCTACAGGGTGCTCTTCGACACTTAAGATTAATGAATCTCATGTTAACCCCTGTGATAACTTGTTTGTACCATTAATAGATGCTTTATATTGCAATGTAGACATTTCTTACTCTTAAAGCAAACATGAAGTCATCTAAAACTGACTAAACTAGTAGATCCATGCCACAGTAGACAAGTACATTGAGCTGCATGTCAGTTTAGGTTTTCTGTTGAGCTCACAGGAGCTTTGAATCCTAGGGAATCCTGATATGCATGTATCAAACAGCTCCACACCCTCTATCATGTCTTGTAGCTTACTACTGGCTAGTAAGCCACCCATTAAAGTGATGAACTATTAATGAGGCACAGGAAGCGGAAAGGAGGTAGTGGGGTCAACATTTCAACCACAGGAGCTGGTCAAAATTTTGCCCCAGGATTTGAGTATCCACAAAGAACTAAGGGGGAAACAAGACTAATCTACTAGCACCTGCATGTGCCAACTATGACACAGAACAGGGAATTTATAAGATTTTGAATGATTTCAGGCATGTTTCAAATAATATACTTCCAATATACGCCATCCAGTTTCATGAATAATGTTTATTGCACACTAACAAAGTTTGCCTCATACAAACTCTCCAACTTTTTTAATCTGCTGGAATGTTTTAAGTGTTTTACAGATATTGTTTCTATCTTAGGACTCGAGTCTAACAAATGCTGCTGAGTAAAATGCTTCAGCAGCATTTTTTAACATGATGGAAATACCAATGGTATGAAATAGAGCACAATAACCAATATTAACTAATCAAACTCCAGATTTCATTAGCCTGATTACAATGAAACACTGGATTACAAAACAAGATTGCTGTTTGCACTGTTCGGTTAACTGTGTCATTAGAAAAGTATGTTTGTATAAGAAGTTCTAGTATCCTTTGCAAACTAAATATAATGAACATACTAAGGGGCTCATGTATAGGAAATTCCTAGGCTCCTCAGTGACATCTAGTGGCAGTAATGCCGTGCAAACAGCAATAGTCCAGCTTTGTGCTGAGTAGGAAGTTTATACACGAGCCCCTAAGTAATAAATACAATAAACTAAAGTGTTCCTAAAGCCAGTTTTTTTTTTAACATTTTGGATGAAGAAGGGAATTGATAAAACCCCGCCAGGTTTTTTTTCTTTTTTTTTTTCATTTAAGTCACATTTGAGAGATTTCCCTTATAGTAGAAATAAACTCAAACTTTGTCTCAATAATGAATTCAGATCAAACATATAAACATTGCTTAGCAAAGTATTTCTTTAAAATTTTGCCCAAGCACTTAGTCATCATGTTTCCGAACAGCTGGCTCCAATTTTCTCAGCCCAGCCTCCCTGAACTTCCTGTCCCAGTGCAAGATCACAAGGGATTAAGCGGTCTGCAGCAGCCATCCTCCTACTGAGGAGTAGCTGGAAGCAGGGGAGTGGCTTCCCTTGCTGTGCTGGTGTGTTTTGTGGAGACGATGTGTTTGTGGGAAGGAGCCACCCTAAAATATCAGATATCAGGATATCAAAGCCACTGCCCAGGGGACCAGCTGATTCTGCAAACAAACATTTAAATATCAAGGAGCAAAATCCATAAACTTCCTTGAGAATAGGAAGTAAGAGCATATTTCACTAAAGTGAGAGAATTCTCCTCTTATTCTCTTAGTTATCACCAGAGAAAGTGTTCCCATTGGATTTTTCTCCCTTTATACTTGTTCCAGTGAATTTTGGATTTTCCCTCAATTCTACTCCCTGTGACAAGTGCCATTAGAATAAAATAATTTAGAGGGTGAATCTCCCCTCCCAAAAAAAAAAAGTTTAATTAATTTAAATACAAAAAAAGATGTTATAGAAGAGCTGAAATATTTTCTCTAGAGAAAAGGTTTGCAGGTTCCAGGTTCCCCTCAATTTTACATAACCTTAAAACCTGGGCATTTGCTCATGATCCTCCCTTGATGTGGACCTATTCTTAAAACCCAAGTCCAGGAACTAGCATGCATTTCAAAGTTTAAATGCTTGTTATGTCTATGTATTAGAGGAATAAGGGGTAATATTTCCTGTCATGCTTCAGTGCATTTCTCTTCCCCTTTTGGCCCTGCATTGTACTTGATGACGTAAGAGTGCGACTGCTGGCCTTAGCATCTTAGAGAAGATGCTTTGTGGCACAGATGGAGGGAACCTGCAGGAGGGAGGGGCGAGGTAAGTAATACACTTTATTCCTTTACCCCTATACATGTGCAAGGGTAGTTTTTGTGTAATTCCCAGAGTTGGACTGTAAAATGTAAGGTTTTGTTTAGGGATGCACCGAAATTTCGGACGCCGAAGCGTATGGGCCGAAAATGGCACCCTCTGTTCTTAAAGGTTTGCAGGAACCAATCAGAGGTTTGATAGGCATACCCCATCCCAGATAGCAAGGATAACTTGCCACAAACTTGTGGTGGGGTGAAATTGTAATTTTGTTAACTTGCTGCACATATTCCTGGCAAGTTGTAGACTTGCAGAACACTTGCAGCACAAGTTCTAGTTGACACTTTTTGAATTTGTAGCAAATTTGCTTGGCAAGTCTACAGCAAGAGTCCTGCAGGTCTTAGCAAGAGCTCGGCAAGCTCGCTGGTCTGGAGAATTGCAATGCAGACTTGCTGTAATTGTGCAACAAAATTGTGAAGCTTGGCAAGTCTGCAATAGTTTAGCAAGTCATTTTCAAACTTGCAGCACAATTTCTTGCTATCGGGGATCATGTATTTGATTACTGAATTATACTGATATTGTAATTAGCCATCAGGGACTAGAAACAGGGAGAGCTGTTTGACAGAGACACCATGCAATGGATTAAAAGAGCAGTTGCAGAATTCTTACTGTCAGTTTTATATCATTCATTACTGGCTTGTTGCACTGTTTGTAGTATACATTGCCAAAGTCTCTGCTTAAGCAGAGATCATGTGACCAAAATCCTAACCTTTTCATTATGTGACGGGCACTGTAGGGAGTCTGGAACAGCGTGTCCTCCTGAAAAGGCTACTATTTTAACTCTTTAATTACGCCCTATCTATCGCAGCAGTACTGATAACAAAGCTTGTAAGTTAAGTTTGAATATGTTTGGTTCATCTTCTATTGTATCTTAATTAATGGACCCATGTTTTAGCCTTGTCCCGGGAAGACAAGTTGCACATTGCATAGCTTATCTAGAAAATATACCAAACGTATACATCTAATTAAAGGCATGGAATATGAAAGGATTTTAGTGGGCATATTGCCTGGAGTCTAATGTTATAACTTACATCACTGTTTTATACTGCTTTACAAATATCTGCACAAATGAATGTACATAACCACAATAATTTAGTTAATTACATTTTCCATTAAGGAGTAGTTCAAACAGAAAGAACAGACAGTTGTACCTATACAAAATTTGTTGTTATAGTGAGATGTGTACATATTAATATGAACACATCTGGTGTTCCTGCCCTTGCTACACAGTAATTCTGATCTGTTCCAGTGTACGAGGACATTGTGTGCCTAAGCCTTGCTCCTCTGTTCCCAAGTACAGATAACAGTTCACTGCTACATTTCTTGCAGTATTAGTAGCTGACAATCTGCTAGTAATGCAGACCATGTCCGGCAAGCCTACAACATGCATCCCTCATACTGCTGTAGGATTTTTCGCCTTGCAAGCCAATGTTATTGTATGACAGACAAAGCTGCTTGTTGCTATGGTATGATTAGTTATCAGATTTGAGTGAAGGCCAGTCAGTGCAACCATAGAAGTTCTGCTTTTTTAAGCCAAGCTTGTAGCGTGACGATTTGGAAGGTTTTTTCCACTGTCGCTTTGCAGCCACAGTCTACAAGTTTGTATTCTCTTGTGTTTGCATTAGCTTTCTTTAGATGTTTTCAGTAATCTAGCCCAGATGGTTTCTTCACATGACTCTCCTTAATAAGTGCAGCTGTATGACTTGTACTGTAGATTCTTCTGAAGAAACTGTTTTCAGTTGTAAATCCTTGACATATAGTACTACAAACATTATTGTAAACCAATTTCTTTATTCTTGTAACTGTGGGATTCTGCAACACTTCATGTTAGTAAGTCCTAACCATTATTCATAGCTTGTATGGGTGTTTTGCAATTATTATTAGCAACTTCTGTTTATAGAGTCCCCAAGTTGTGCTCACCTTCTACCCAGAATTCATTACTCTATCTTCACTGACCAATTATTTTCAGTGCAAACCTCCAACTCCAAGTATAGCTCTGTTTTCATCATTACCATCAGCCACTCCTACACCACTCCCTGCACTTTTCCACCTTTTCTTCCCCTGACTCTGGATTACTGTCAGTAACACTTATTTCATCCTCCCTATCTCAATCCTTGGCTTTCTTTCTTCTCCTTCCGTCTATCCCTTACTGGTCCATCCCAGTTATCTTGATTCACTTTTCCCCCTATTCGACTTCCAATAAGGCTTACAGTGGCGAAATGTCTTGAATGGCCGTGTACAAAGCTATTTAGTTAATTATGTTTTTGTTTAGATAGTGTCCCCACAGTGATGACCACATGTACTATACTCCTTGAGAAAGATAATGACTTCTTTTCTACAGGTTAGTGTTGGACATAGTAGATGCAAATTGTGAAAACTAAGCTCTGTCTCATCTAAATATATATGGAAAAGTGCCATTTCCTGTATAGTTTTATTTAATGCATTTATGGAATCTGTATCTACACACAAATGCTGATCAATTTCTGCATGTGTTTTTTATGACTTATTGTAACTGTTTAACGAACGGGCATATTTATACTAGTATATTGACAGCCCACTAAATATAAATGACATAAATGTTCTAGACCACATCTATGCAGAAATGTGCAACTGTTTTATTATTAGAAATAAATATGTGTAATGTTAAAGTTGAATAGCTAGTATATGTAGTCCAAGAATGATAACACCAACTGCAACTA